ATTATATTTGTTTCTTTAAAATGTAAAGGAAGCTTGGACTAGTTAAGGAAGTTTGATACATTCAAACGGTATAGTTTTATGAATTTTTACTTTATAAATTTCTATTTATGGAACACTGTAAGTTGGTAACATTAATAAAATTCTAAATCGCAATTACATAACAAAGTACAGATAATATTGTATTTTTTTTTTTGTTAAAATCAATACTAAGGAAATTTAGATTATTAAAATGATTTGATATATTCAAATGGTATAATTTTATAAATTTAAATTTATAGAACACGGTAACAAGTAATTTAAGATTTGTGATTATTTTCTTTGTTTTCCCCATTTAATTTTGGAGAGTTTTTAGTTTTTGTGGGAAGAAAAAGAAAGTACCATATTTTTTTTTTTTTTTTCAATTATATATTGTAGGAGAGGACTATTTCTTTAATAAGGTCTCTTTTTTTATATACTACTTATGTCCCGTATTAGTAATCCATTATGTCATTTTTAATTGTCTCAAATTGATTGTCATCTTAGATAAGTCAAAGTAAATAAACAAGTTTGTAATTTTATAAGGAAATAACAATTAATTAATTAAAATTTCAAATTCTAATTATAGACTTAAATAACAAAAATATTACATATTCATACATCTAAATCACTCCCTTTCTCTCTCTCATTCTCAATATATATATATATATATATATATATATATTGATTGTGGTGGTGGTGTGGTGACGTGCTTCCCGACACTAGCGAAGCTTGTGTGGAACTGTGGGAGGATCGGCGCCGCTCTTTCAACGTGTAAACTATTTTATTGAATTTAATTTGACTAATCGCACACAAGTAGTAAACAAATGGACGGGACGTTGTCCCACACAATTTAATTTTACTTGAGTTCAGTAAAGAAATGTGAACATAGTTAAACTCAATTTATAAATACTAAGTTCAAGTAAAGTTAGGTGTTCAGAAATATAGATTTTTTTTTTTTTTTTTTTTTTTTTCAAGGGTTTACTTGTATAAGTTGATGAACAAGTTAAGGCTATCTTGACCACGAATTCAAACTAGACTCAAATACAAAAATAAAATCAAGGTTGACTTTTTTTATCAAACGGACTTAGGCAAGTTGAGTTTGAATTTTTTATAAATAATGAGTCAAACTAAACGAACTTACGCGAGTTGAGTTTGAATTTTTTTAAATAATGAGTCAAACTTCAAAAAATTTGTCAGGAATTAAGTCTAGACTGAACTTACAAATGTACAAAGTCGAATCCATACATACAAAATCGGTTCATTAAGAACATTTCAAATATATTTGTTTATGTATTTAGACTGTGTTTGCATGGTAGAAGACGAAAAAGAAAAAAATAAATAAATAAAATAAAAATAAAAATAAAAATGAAGGAAAAGGAAAAGGAAAAGGAAAAGAAGTAGTATAATAGATTATGGTTTTAGAATGGGCGCAAATAAAAGAAAAGGGCATGATAGAAAATATAACGCTTTAGACTGTTTTTAATTTTTATTTTTTCCCAAAAATGAATTATAAGAATTTATTACAGAATTATCACTCATTTACAAATAATCCCTTGAATTACAAAAATAAATTAAAAACAAAAAATTAATATAAAAAAAATCTCCTTGCATGATTGCATCATTTGTTTGTCAACCAAGAGTGAAATTACTGAAATGACTATTTTGTCCTTAAAAAAAAAAAAACAAAAAAAAACTATATGACGTTGTTTCAGTCTAACCATAGAGCAAAGGTTAATTTCCAAACCTGCAACTTTGCTTAACCCATTCTCCACCGCTCTATCTCATTTTATCTAGATCATGATCACGTAACAATCCCTAATCCTTATCCTGTTGGGATTTATATGTCCTGGCATAGCAAATTCCTATTTGGATTAAAGTGAAATATGTTTATGACGTTTCTGAAATATTTGTGTTTAATACAATTGGTGAATTCAATGTATTTTGTTTCGATTCATTATAGAATTGATGGTGTTCACTTAATTACAAGAGATATTTATATATGTATGTTATGGCGATCAATACATGAATATAAATAGTAATCATAAATTGTTCATAATCAGTAATTATGGATGGACTCATAATTAATTAAGACTTGAACTGGATCCGCGTTAGGTTGAGATATATTGCGAGAGCTGTCGTATGCAATTGCTCCTTATTACTGGCATTTGACTCTTAAGTATGAGAAAATTATAAACTCTTTTATTAATTAATAATTACTTTGATTTGTTCGGCGGATACTTCGGGATCATTAGACCGACACTTTGGGTACTTATGTAATTAATAGTTAGAAGGTTATATTTTTAATATTTGCATCATTAGTACCTGTATTTATTTTATATTGATTATGGTTGATCACAAAGTAAATTCGAAGGCCTTCGTATTTTGTTAGACAAAATGATTTATTATATATTTATTTATTTAAATTATTATTTTTTGTCAAACAAATGTTTTATTGTGATCGAGTTAGAAATAATCAAATGTACCAAAATAAATATATTAATTAAGTAGGCGGATTGATGGCTTTATTTATCCGATAATTAATTATGTATAGAGGGATCAAAGTGCAACATTAATTTAGAGGTTATTTATTATTTAATTGAAATTTAATTAATTTCTTTTAGTGGAGTAGAAATTAATTTATGAATTAATTTAATTGGGTTCATGGACCGGGCCAATTATTAATTCATTGTAACCAATAAAATAATAAGCCCAAAGGATTCTCACTTATAACCCAACTTGATATTGGAATCTTATATATACATGGTCAATGTATATTTTAGAGGTGATTTTTTGGAAGAAGGAAAAAAGAATATATTTTCTCTCTCTAGAAAATTAGGGTTAGTATTATCATCTAATGGAGGTTCTCACAAGTCTAATTTTCCAAGATCATTCATGGAGGCTTATAAGTGATTCCTAAAGGCAAAACAAGTACCAAGAAGATAGAGATCCAAAGAGAATGTATTTTGCTAAGAAATTTACAATAAGTGAGAACATTCACTTTAGAGGAAAGATTTAAAAGTTTACTCAAACCTTTAATATAAGTATTCAATCTGTTAATTGAATGATACATCATATTTTATTTTTACATAAAACTTGTCTCTATGTGATGAATCGAGATCTATGAATGAAAATCACTCGAAAAGTTTTTAAAACTAACACGTTTCCCAACATATCCATCAGCCATCTTTAAAGATTTGATGGATGGGGAAGGATTGCTCTTACTCTTTCGGACCTAACTAATCCCACACCCAACTCAATCTTTCATTCAAGGAAAATGATATAGAGTCCGAAAGTTGATATATCCCACTGCATTTATGTGATGAAGTCATCCCATTCACATAAATCCAGTTAAATAGTTTTTAACTTTCAAAATCTGTGTCCCAAGACTCACAACTCATGATCAAAAGATTAATTTCGGCAACCAAAAATTGCAACACTACTCATGTGGTAGCCTCCTGGTTTTCACCAGCAGGAGCCACCAAACCACGATCCTCCGCGAATCTATTCCAAGCATTCAAAGGAGGGGACTTCTTCTTCATAGTCAGGATCAACCCTTTCACCTCCTTCCTCATTTTCGATTCCGGCACCAACCAACGTATCGAAATCCAGAAACTTATTAAACATCACACCCTCCTTAAACACCTTGTACCCCTCCTCATAATTCTCATTCCTGCGCAAATAATATATCAAAGTCGTAATAGTAGCAGCATTCAGATTACACCCATTTCCCTCCAAATCCTCATAGACCTTCTTTGCTTCTTCCAACATTCCATTCTTACAGCAACAAGTCATCAAATAATTATAAGTAATGGTGTCTGGTTTCAACCCTGCATTGCTTATTTCCTCCATCAGTCCCTTCACAATCCACCGTGAGCATGCATTATCCGAACGTTGTACAGGGGAACACCCTTTTTCCACCATTTCATTCCAAACTCTCTCGGCCTCGAAATCTTTCCCTGCTTAAATGCTTATACAGAGCATGCAATATTGTCGTGAATATGATTGCTGTAATTTTGATTCCTCTCTCTTCCATTTCTTCATTCTCGAAATGGCCAATTCAGGCCGGCCAGAATCGCAGTAAGACAGTAGGACTTAACCAATATACCATAGACTTGACCAATATACCATAAGAGATTTTACCGGGCGAAAATCCGAACTTTTGAGGCATTTCATCGAACAGTTGGGGTACTTGATCGAATAGCTTCGATTGGGTACACGCCTTAAGAAGAGCATTGAATGAGATCGTAGTCCTGGGCATGCCCAGTTCGTCCATTTGGTTGTATGTTTTGACTTTTGAGGGAGTGATCGAATATGCCAGCGAGGCCGTACGACTGAATGAGGGTGGAGAGGCTCGAACCATAAACTCCCTTTGGGAAGTAGGGGATTGGTATTACTCAGCCACTGGTCCATTGATATTTGCAACACTTTTTTACCAAATAATTTTCTTGTTTTTACTTTTAAAAATCTTTTAACAAATATATATTACCAAACATACATAATAGTATTAAACACACTCTAAATCATAAATAAATCAGAAACTGTTTCACGTCAAAGCAACAACACAAAGCAATTGTGGCTGCAAGCGGCCCTTCGCAATGTAGTAGACATATTGCAAATAGATTGATAATGCCATACCAATGTATAACTTTTCTCAGGTCAATCAATTATATAATTTTGATGCATGTCTGGCTCTGCTCGGTGTTTCAGCCTACAACAGCATCATTGTAGCCAAACAAATCTCCAAAAATGTAGCCTTTAAATTAGTAGGACCTCATAAGAAAGCTAAATTGGCTTAATGTCCTGCCCTGCATAGGCACATTGTTGTTACCAAGTCTTTCCAGTGCCACCCATTTGAGCTCATTCTGTGATATAAACATTGTGATAGCATTAAGTACACCCTACACAATTAACAAGAGTGGTGAAAACTGAAAAAGATGTTTTCCAACAAATCATGCAAAAAATAGTAGACATATCATACAAAATATAGAACAAGAGTTACTTATTGAGCCAAATAATATACTATATTGGATGATATTGTTAACATTCATATCATCAAGAGCCTTGGCATGACAAATCTGACTCAGAAAGGATAGCTAAGAAAGAAGGATAGTTCTTAAAAGCTAGTTGTGGACTCGACCATCTCTCCTACACTGCTTCCGGTGTTCTTCTTCAGCTATAAATAAACTCTCATCCTTTCCACCGCCATCATTTTTTGCCTTTTTTTTTCGAAGGGAATCCAAAATTACAAGCAACAAGTCAAATACCAAGACTAACATAAAAATAAAACAAAGCCGCTGTCTTGTCCCTCTTTCAAAGCATTAAGCAGCCTTCAGTGAAAAATCCAGAATTGACTTTCACATTATCCCTGAACTCAAAATTCAGGCAAAAGTGAATTACTCAGGCTGCAGGACAAATGCAGAGCAATCCCCAATAACCAAAAATTCCAACAACACTCATGTAGTAGTAGCCTCTTGGTTTTCACCAGGGGCCGAAGAATCAGCAGCCACCAAACCGAGATCCTCCTCGAGTTTCTTCCAAGTATTCAAAAGGTTAGAAGGGAACTTCTTCTTCATAGTCCGAATCAACCCTTTCGCCTCCTTACTTTTCGAATTCTTCACCAACCCTTCCACCAAAGGCTTCAACGTATTGAAATCCTGAAACTTATTAGACGTCACACTGTCCTTAAACACCCTATACGCCTTCACAAATTGCCCATTCCTGCACAAAAAATATATCAAAGTCCTAAAAGTGGCAGTATTACGATGACACCCATTTCCCTTCAATTCTTCATAATAAACCTTCTCAGCTTCTTCCAACTTCCCATGCTTGCAATAACATGTCATCAAGTAATTATAAGTAATGGTGTCTGGTTTCAACCCTGCATTGCTTATTTCCTCAATCAAACCCTTCACAGTCTCCGGCTCTTGACCGGGGGCATTCATTATCCGAATGTTGTGCGCCCCGATATCAAGCGAACACCCTTTTTCCACCATCTCATTCCAAAGTCTCTCGGCCTCGTCACTCTTCCCCTCCTTATACAGAGCATGCAATATCGTCGTGAACGTGATTACCGTAATTTCGATACCTTTCTCTTCCATTTCTTTCATTCTCGAAATGGCCAATTCAGGCGAACCCGAATCGCAGTAAGACTTCGCCAATATACCATAAGAGATTTTATCAGGTGAAAATCCGAACTTTTGAGGCATTTCCTCGAACAGTTGGGGTACTTTATCGAATAGCTTCGATTTGCTACAGGCCCAAAGAAGGGCATTAAATGACAATGCAGTTCTGGGCGTGCCCAGTTCTTCCATTTGGTTGTATGTTTTGAGGGAGTGATCAAACATGCCGGCAATGCCGTACGATCGAATGAGAGTGGAGAGGTAGGGTTCTTGAGTGATTTTGGGGTCATTTTTGTGGGACTCGATTAGGGTTTCGATGTCGGAGAATTTTTCAGACCTCGCAAGGCGCTTGACGGTGAATTCCTGCGCGAAGCGGGCGGAGAGAGGAGTTTTGTAGTGGCCGGAGACAGAGGAATAGATCTCGAGGACTTTGTCAGGGTCGAATTCGTTTTTGAGTTTTGCTTTGGCCTTGGAGATGGAGCGTGCGGAGGCGACGGCGACGTCAGTGGCAGCGGCAGCGGCCGCAGTTGTTGAGAGGTGGCGGACGTGGCGAATAGCGAGCGAAGAAGACATTTCTAGGGTTTAGGGTTTTTAGGTTTGGACTGGTTTTTCAGGTTATTTTTGGGATGAAATGAAAGAACTGTGTAGAAAATGTACTAGGGTTTTACTTTTTCTCTTGCTTATTTCAGTCTCAAGCCGGGTAGGACTGCAGATTTGGTCACTTATACCCCCAAATTATTTTTAGGGTTTTGACACGTGTTAATTGCATGGAGGAAGACAAAAATAAATAAATATCTAAATAGTATAATAGATTATGGTTTTCGAATGGGAGAAAATAAAAGAAAATGAATGAAGTGATAGAAAATACAACGCTTTAGAGTATTTTTAAATTATTATTATTATTTTTTTAATATGCGAATAAGGCTAGGGCATCATTTGTTTGTCAACCAAGAGTGTGAAATCATTAAAATGAATATTTTGTCCTTTAAATTTAAAAACAAAGAAAAAATAAAATACAAATTAAATGACGTCGATTCAATCTAACCTGTAACCTACTAATCCAATCTTCCTTCGATTGCTTCACCATGGTTGCTGCAAAAGCGTAAAAGTTTAATTTTCATCTTATGCCCCAAGTAACCAAGTTCAAATCATGCATCCAAGAGGAAAACATAGTTCAATACAAAAATCATTTTTTCTTTTTTTTTGTGATTAATTTTTTATTTAATTATTATTATTATTTTTTTTTTTTTTTTTTTTTGGTGATCAAAATGGGGGGCTCCATCTTATTGGCTTCAATATCCAAACCATAACAGATCCCCTCAAGTCCACATTTGGCCTTAATCCCACACTTCCCAGATTACAGATAAGTACACTTAGCTTGCTAATAATTCAATACAAAACCTTCTCAAAGCACATAGAAAACCTTTTGGTTACAAGACACATTTGTAGATTATTTTCTTTTTCCATCCCAACTCAACCTTTCATCCCAAAAAAATGATATAGAATCCGAAGCCCGGCATTTATGAGATAATGTCATCTCACACTCAATTATATCTCACACTCAATTATATCCAGTCGGATATGTTTTAACTTTCGAAACCTGTATCACAACTCATAATCCAAAGATTAATTTCGGCAACCAAAAATTGCAACAACACTCATGTGATGGGCTCCTGGTTTTCACCAGGGGCTAAAGAATCACCAGCAGCAGCCACCAAACCAAGATCCTCCGCGAATCTATTCCAAGCAGTCAAAGGAGGGGACTTCTTCTTCAGAATCCGTATCAACCCTTTCGCCTCCTTCCTCATTTTCGATTTCTTCACCAACCCTTCCACCAAAGGCCCCAACGTATCAAAATCCAGAAACTTATTAAACATCACACCCTCTTTAAACACCTTGTACCCCTCATAATTCTCAATCCTGCACAAATAATGTATCAAAGTCCTAAAAGTCGCAGCATTCGGATTACACCCATTTCCCTCCAAATTCTCTTTGACCTTCTTAGCTTCTTCCAGCATCCCATTCTTACAATAACAAGCCATCAAATAATTATAAGTAATGGTGTCTGGTTTCAGCCCTGCGTTGCTTATTTCCTCGATCAATCCCTTCACAATCTCCGGCTCTCCACCGTGGGCGTGCATTACCCGAACATTGTACACCGCAACATCAGGCGAACACCCTTTTTCCACCATCTCATTCCAAACTCTCTCGGCCTCGTGAATCTTTCCCTGCTTACACAGAGCATGCAATATTGTCGTGAATATGATTGCTGTAATTTCGATTCCTTTCTCTTCCATTTCTTTCATTCTTGAAATGGCCAATTCAGGCGAACCCGAATTGCAATAAGACTTAACCAATATTCCATAAGAGATTTTATCGGGCGAAAATCCGAACTTTTGAGGCATTTCATCGAACAGTTGGGGCACTTGATCGAATAGCTTCGATCGGGTGCCCGCCGAGAGAAGAGCATTGAATGAGATTGTAGTTCTGGGCGTGCCCAGTTCGTCCATTTGGTTCTACGCTTTGAGGGAGTGATCGAACATGCCGGCGAGGCCGTACGACCGAATGAGGGTGGAGAGGTAGTGTTCGTGGGTGATTTTGTGGTCGTTTTTGTGGGACTCGAGTAGGGTTTCGACGTCGGAGAATCTGCGAGACTTCGCGAGGCGCGCGACGGTGATTTTCTGGAGGTAACGGGAGGAGGAAGGAGAGGCGTAGTGGCCGGAGACAGAGGAATAGATCTCGAGGGCTTTGTCTGGGTCGAATTCGGTTGTGAGTTTTGCTTTGGCCTTGGAGATGGATAATGTGGAGGAGGAGGTGGTGGTGGTGGCGGCTGCAGCAGTGGCCACGGTTGCTGAGAGGTGGCGGATGTGGCGAATAGCTAGCGAAGAAGACATTTCGGCAAAGCGGAAAGAAATCAAATTACAGGGAAATTTGAGGGAACCTCGACTCTGGAGCTTCAATGCCATCGAGCATCTTATTTAAAACTCAGCATTAATTAGTGTTTAAGCTTCTAAGACTCAACATTTTATTTTATTATTATTTTTTTTTAGTTTATGTTAATTACTAACAGGTATAGTTCAATTATATATATAGACTTGTATAGATTTATAAATATAGGCTTATAATTCAACCTAATAAAAAAAAAAATTGTACATGAACGAAGGTGCAGGTGCTCATATAACATAACAAAAGAATCAAAACAATCTTAACACAATGGACTTTGACTTTATCGTTCTACCAAAAATTAATTGATGATAATCCTCTGACTTTATGATATCGCGTCTGGTTTAAAGTGCAAAACATAGAAGACTACTGCACTAATAACAATAACAAGACAGGCTTATCTAATGATCTCCGATCAAATAAATGTTCAAAGCGTAGAAGACTACTTCACTAATAACATGACAGGTTTATCAAATGATCTTTAGATCAAGACAAGTGTTATTTATTGAATTTAACCAGCTGGAACTTGAGACAACGATGATGAATGGAGTTTATAGAGGACTATGACTTTAAGTTGTGTAGTATCACCTGGAGAAATCTCTAAGAGAATTATGAACCAAAAGCTCCGTTTCGTTATTCACTACATTTTTCATTTTTTTTTATTAAATGAGCTCAAAATGAATCTCTAAACATACGAACAGAACCCAAACAAATTGAAGATCAAGTCAACTTATTTCATTTCCAACCCTAACATCAAGTTAGTTAATTTTTTAGTTAATATCTTCAAATTTACATAATACAAATTTTGAACTAAACTTCCTCCAATTTCATAAACATAACAATAATGTTGTTTGATAAAAGGATACGTGAATTGACATGTTTTCAATCTAACCGTTTTATACAAAATTGGCTTGAGAAGCCAATAAAATAAAATAAAACCAAACCCAAAAGGGCAAAGCTCCACAGTTCAAATTCCAACGGTTCCCTAGTAATATTCATATGCTATATGCGGAATAGAGGAACAGCGGTGCATGTGATGGACCATGAACTGCCCAAAGAAGACTCAAGACACCACCATCATCAACACAAGCACAAAAATGAAAATCAATTTTTCTTGCTATTGCTGCAGTTTTCGGAAGTAACATCCTCCAAAAATATACTTGTTCAGACATATAACGAGTAATGCTACGATGCCCAAATCGTTACAAGAGGTAAACCCCCGATTTTTCTTCTCCTTTTTTTACCTTGGCAAGAAATCACACACCTACCAGCCCGTGATATTAAGAACAATACGAGGTTAAAACAGCCCGTCATATTTTAAAATTACATGTCAAAAAACCCAGACAACAGACCCACAAGGCACCCAGATGAATTCAACTGCATCTATCCAATATATATGTATCAACTTGAAATAAGGTTTATAGTTACACAACCAGTCTTCAATACGATCCCTACATATTTTCGAACAAGTTTATAATGAGAGCGCCCTCACTGTGACAAACAATGGATTCAATGGTTAAGAGCGTAAGGTGAGAGCACCCTCGTACCTTTTCCATGTATGAATTTCAACATATAACATCGACCGTTGTCCAATACACTATCTGCAACTGCACAGAGAAACAGAAAACAGTCCTCTTATTGATACCGACAGTAGTCTTAACAGTAGATGAAATTCTGTAACAAGCGAGTCCTCAATTCTTATTTATCTGAAAACTTTCAGAAACGATACATACATGCATATAGAGAGACATATATCACAATTCTGAAGCCCTCAAATTCCCAAAAACCTTCCCATCCAGTACCAATTCATTTATGCATCTCTATTTGTACTTGCAAATATAAATTTTATGTACTTAAATCGCTTCACCTGAAAAACAACTGCTCTTCGCAACATTGATTTCTCTTAATTGGCATTTGGCGAGCAAAAGTGGTCATCCTAAATGGTTTCAACCATGTGGGTGAATCTCATGCACAGGCAAACATCGACTCTTGAAAAGCAGCAGCTTGATGTACAAATTGCATCTGGTTGAACTATGATATTGGACACTGGAAAATTTTAATCAGGGGCGGTAATGCCTTTCTTTAGTACCTTTAAACTATATAATTTGCCAACTGAAGATGAACATATATACATCATTTGGGATTCCCATCACCACTTTTTAAGACCCAAGCAGAGCCATGCGACACGCATAATTCATTTAAGACCTGAAAAAGCAAAGAGAGACAGCATAGATCCTATTAAGGAAAGCAGTTATAAGACTTTTACTTGATATAAGAAGATAAATTGCACAGAGAAAATTAAGAAATTTAATTTTAAAACCATGGGCAAGTCAAAGAAGTGTTTGAACTTTCTTAACCAAAAGTCCCAGAAGTGATGGGACATTTTTATAGGAGCCTCCAAGATTATCGGCATCCAAAAATGTCTATGATAGGGATGTGAGCAAATGTAGCGTGTCATGCTACTTAGAAAGCTTCTATAGTATTTTGTGAAAGTTGAGTGGACTACCAAGCTAAAACTAAAATTCTATTCGAACAATAAGGCCATCCACCTTTTAGTTATGCTGAATAATGGAAAGTCAAATTGTGTCAGAAGAGTTGTGAGTTGTAACATGATAACAGAGAGAATAATAATCAGCAGTCAGAAGAGAAGAAGAAGCAAGAAACCACGACAGCACCAGATGAAGAAAGACCGATAGGAAATTGTTTAAGAAGCCTTTGCCATGTTCAAGGACAACCTATTAGGCCACAATGACTAGACAAAAGAGTACTGACTGCTTTGTGTAACAGCATAGTGAAGGGAGGATAATCAATAATAATGTGGGATGAGATGATGAGCAACAGTTAAAGACTTGGGAAAATAAAATTAAAAAGCCAAGTCCTAGTAGTTTAATACAATGGTTTGAATAAGTGCAAAGACAACAGAAGTAACTTCCGCCCAAATTCATTATGTAGTTTTGTAGACTTCAGAAATAAATTAATCTAGAAATTAGTAGAGAGAGGGAGTCCTCATAGAGTAAGAAATAGCAGTGCCTTAATCAGTTCTGTTGTGTGATCCCAAATTCCCAATGTCAATGGAATCATTAGTTGCAGGTGGTAAAAATGACAGTGAAGCTAAGATGGTATTTTGGTTCTGTCGGTGTTTGGGATTAACCAGTGATGATAGTGGGGAAAGGTGCAGATTTATTTGTGGAGGCATCGACTATCACTTATTGCTGTTGATGCGTCTGCGCAATTGTGGTAATAGCAAGGGAGTTTGTTGTGTGTGTGATGAGATTGATCATGGTGGCAGTAATTTAGATGGTGAACATCATGTGGGCAAAGTGGGGTATGGAGAATTGATCAAAGATGATAGCCATGAGATTTGGTGCCGTAGAATCTGTAGATATTGGAGTCCACGGTGCCTTTAATAGAGACGATGGTGATAGAAGTCAGAGCTTTTGGTGGTGCTGGATTTAACCGATGGGTGGTTGCTTTGGTTAGGATGATGAATGTTGGTGCCGATTAGCAATACAGTGGAGGAAAAAGGAAAAGAAAATTTCAATTAACAAATTAAAGAGGGCATTTTAATTTTATAAGTGATAGATCCAAAATTCACTAGATAAAAGTTAGTCAACTGTTTTAACAAAAAAATAGGATCCACCCCTAATTAATTTTTAAAAAAGGCACAAAAATCAAATTGCATGCAAAATTACAAAACTTAAGTTAATAATAATAATAATAATAATAATAATAATAACTCTATTCTTTATCTTTTGAATTATAAATACTCATAACTTCAAAACAAAGCACAATACTGTGCTCAGAATAAAATTCGAGGTTCCTTCGGACACTATAAAGCCCTTTGGAACTAATTCACATGTTCAGTTATCTTCCAAATCTTTCGCAAGTCAACTTAATTCGACTATGATGAACTTATTCCACAACAAATACGTGTTCATGTGCCAAATTGCTTCCTATGTCAGTTGAAATAGGACCAATATCCGATGTCCAAGACAACAAATATATAAAATCTGGAAAATGAAAATCATAAATATATATACACACGCACATCTATATTGATTAGAATTTGTGCCAACCTTTTGATATTCATTAGAAGTGATATTCCTTTTAAGTTGCAACTTGGCAGCTTCAACAATAGAAGCCTTTTTAAGCTTTGCGTCAGGTCCTTCAGCAATAAGAAGGTTAATGACAATATTCCTGCAAAAGAACAAACTCCACAATTATTATTGGCCAAGGAAAATCATCTGAAGAAGAAAATATAATGTCAGGAACAACCTCAACTCATCATATTGGGGATGATCTGGGGATGACTTCGAAACATAGACACCATGGATATTTGTAGCAACTTGTTTAATGATTTCCATGAGCTCCTCCTGAGGAGCATCAACACCATTTGCTGCAGCTATTGCTTCTCTAGGAACTCCTTTGGGACGACTAGATTCAGAAACAGCCATTTCCCGCAAACGTTGGCAAATCTGTGGAAAGCTGCCAGGATATAGAAGGCATAATTCTGATGTCGTTTCCAGCAGTAAAATTGCAAAAATAACTTCCAACAAGATGTAGCAATGTACTCTTTTCCCTCAGTAGATGAAATGATGTGCAATTGGGTGCATAATTTTGTTAGTATAATGGATTCATATAGGATACTTTGTTTCTAAATCTAAATCATAGATGGCCGCCACTGCAGATTGAATAAACTCTAATTCAAACTGCTTAACTGAGTTCTACATAAGTTTTTAATAAAACAGAATCAGCAAACCCACTGCTGTGTGCAAAACCCACCACCATCCTAACACCACTATGGCCACAGTGCGCTCCTAGATACCCCTCCACCCTCCAAGATAAACAAGCTTACATCGTCCCTCTGTCACTTTATTGTCAACATGCACCACCACCTCTATGCGACCACCTATTACATGGTGTTTACTGCCGCCTTCTCCAGTCAACTCTTCTTCTCACCATTACGTCTAGAAAAAGATAAAGGAACACAAAATGGGAAAGAAGAAGAGGAAGATAAAAAATAAAAAAAATAAAAAAAGGAAGTGGTTTTTTACTAGAAGTAAAAGTCACGTGATTAAATTAGCGCATGAAGAAAAAGATAATTAGCAATTTTACTACAATAAGCGTTGCTATGCAGATAACGAGAAGGCCAAGTAATGAAGATAATAGTAATCAACCACAGGTTTAACAGGATTCTTGTTGAATACTGACAACAAAATGTTCAAAGAAACAACAAAAGCTACATAATAGGAAAGAATTGAAAAAGATAATTCATGTGGCCAACCCCAACCATATGGGATAAAGGCAAGGATGATGGTGATGATGAAACAGCAAAAGCTACACACTTTACCTGCAAACCTTCTGAGTTTGGAAAACTTTCTGTAGGGCCTTTGGTAGAGCTTCTCGAGTTTCAACTGACATTGGTGTCCGGGAAAGTGCTCCATTTGAAGATTTTGCTGCAACTACATTAGGATTCTTTGATGCAGGAGGCCTACTGGCCATATCAGGTTTTGAAGAGTTCCTCATACCCGGCCCACTCTTCCCGCCTTCAAGATACTTACTATTTACTGGTATTTCCATACGTTCCCAAACTTGTTCTTGCTCCTTGACGATGTCAGGGTAAAGTTTTATAAATGACATATCTTGAGGTTCTTTAAACTTCCAATTATTGAGTGAAGGTCTCTCAACAGCTAACACATTCAGCACACTCTTTGAAGCTTTGCTAAGAGCACCGGATGCATTTACTTGTCCATGACTGATTATAGGATTCTTTCTAAACAAAAGAAGAATGTAATCTCTAGCTAAAGCTTCAACTCCTCGACCACCTTCATATAGCAGTGAACTTTTCGGAACCCAGAGTCCTTGCACTAATTGAGCATATTTCCGGAGGACTCCTAGAACATCTTCAATCGAATCAGAAGGAGCTAAGTGCTTAAGAGTGTCAAATCGATTAATCGGAGGCCCCTATTACAAGAATTATCAAAACAATTAATCAAAAAGAAGAAAAGAAAATTTCCAATTCATTATAACCCCTTCCAAAATATAGATATTGTACTCTTGATAAAGTAAACCTCTCTCGTAATTCAGTAAGTAAAAGATAGATGGTGACTCGAACTAAATACAAAAAATAATAAATAAATAAATAATGATTAATAATAATAAAATAAAAATATAATAAAGGCTGCTAAGAATACAATTATTAAAGGCACATCTAGGTCCCAAAAAACCACCCTAGTGCCTCATTCTATGAGAGGTAAGGTCCCTTAATCAGGTTCAGAAAAAAGAAGTCGGGTGTTTCTCTTTACTTTAAATGACAATATCCTAATGTGAAAAAAAGTTATTCAACTTTTCTTTAATATCTTCAATGTCATTTGAATAATTTAACCTAAGTTAAGACTAGATAAGTATTGGATCTTATCCTAGGCAGTTGTTTGTTAGACATTATTAGTAATTAATTGCAGTTTAAATTTGTTTATTGCACACTTTTTTTTTTTTTCATTGAAAAGAAAACTCACACACCCTTTATAGCACTCTTATTAGTTTATTGGATGAATGAAAAACAATGGTCTTGAATCAAAATATCCAGTTAATTTGTTTGATTGCTCTCTTATAATTGTTTACTACATTTGTTCAAAAAAAAAAAAAAAACAAAAACGCGAACGAACAACAAATCAAAAATCACGACAGAAAAGTAAACACACCGCACACAAAGAACACGAAGATTTACATGGTTTGAAAACGCCTACGTCCACGGTCAAGATCCGGCGAAAGATTTCCCTATGCGTACAAGTTTCAGCCACAAAACCCTAGCTCTCTTCTCTCCTGCAATTTCCAGTGTTCTCTCATTATTCCCGCTCCAAATCCTAAATGCCCTTATATACAAGGCTACAAGAGAGTGCGACCCAGACTGAAACAAATTCGGTCCACAACATCACAAGAATTATAGAATATATTTGTAATAATTTTGTTATAAGATCTTGAGGTTTAAACTATAGACTAGACATTTTTAAGATTTCAGTTTTCTGCACTTGTGAAACAATTTTAATACATTCAGTACTTAAAATGTAGACAGTACAAAACAGATTTTCAAATTTGAAATTTCAGCACTTAAAATTCAGCCCTTAAGATTTTCAGTACTTCATTTCAATGTTACCTGGACTCACCAATGTAGGCCAAGGTGTCTGTGTCAACACGACATGACACGGGCACTAACACGGGATATGAGTAGAACGCTGCATTAAGTCAAACAGACACGGCTGAAGAAGAAAAAATCCAAAAAGATGACTTGGTTGATGCTTGTGAATGATTATAAATCCTTTTTTATGTTTATTCTTTAGATGACTTGGTTCATGGTGTATGCAAGGTCTCTGGTTCGCGAATCTGGTTCAAAAACGGTGTATTTGGAAGGTTGAAGATGGACGTCGTGATACGCGCTGCGTTTTCTACTGCCACGATGCTTCCAAGTCGCTAGGGGCAGATAATGGAGACTTTTTGGCTTCTGCGACTTAATTACACTAGTGAGCTACTGCTGTAAAACCTATAATGTTGAACCATGTGATTTCTTTATTACAGCAGTTATCTTGACTATTGAGCCATGGTCATTTCACTCATAAATTTTACATTATAATATTAAATTTGTCTTGTCATCATTATGTTTGAGTAAGGGAAAGAGAGAGGTGGCACATTTACATATTATTCTTATTAGATACAATAATAGTTATAAAAGTGAACAGGTTAGATAGTTTTTTATTTATTTTTAATTATAAGCAAGAGGAACAATCATCAGACGTGTGAGGGGTCTTTATTCTTATTTATAAATCTGGCCCTCTCTCTTTTGCAAAATGAAAGATAATTTTACATAAAAAGATATATTGATGAGTAACAATCACTTTCTTTTGAGTTTTGGTTAGAACATTTTGAGTTGCTAATTCTATTCAAATCAATACACTAATAGACAATTATCAAATTAATCTACCAATATTTTGTGTAACGTGTCCAAGTACTCGTACCCTACTTTTGGACTTTTCTTTTGTCGAGTCCCAGTGTCCTATAAGTCAAGTAAAAGAAGACCATATCCAGCACCTGGTAACATAGCTTAAAATTTTACAGTTTTATCATACAAAAGGCAAGTGCATCCTATATACTTTGAGCTGCTTAATTTTTTTCAGTTTCATCGAACAGAACCCAAGTGTATCCTATATACTTTGAGCTCTTAATGTCAAGGTCCTTATCTTCTATTCTGTCCTCAAAGGAAAAGTAAGAACTAACTGTTCATAGAAAAACATTACCACACAGAGAAGTTCTCAAACATAACTGCAATTAAATTATCACCAGATAACAGATATTCACAATCTAGATTAAGTAGCGACAAACCTCACGAAGCCATATCTTATAACGCTCTTCCAGTGGCAATGTAAGCAACGACCTGAAACATCATCCACTCAAAAGTCAAACCTTTAAAAATCTAAATCTAGAAGCAGTCACATAGCTATTGCAGTTTTTGCCCAGTAGGCCAAAAAAGTCCAGGTCAAATGAAAACACTAACGTATATGTGTATATAATATATAATAAGACACAAACCGAAAATAGCAACAACAAAAAAATGTGCAAAGCAAAAGACATTGTACCCAACCACGACTAATGGGTAGGCCAATCAACCATAATAATGCAATCCATCACAGATTCGTAATAGCATTAAATTCATACATAGACAGTAGAAGACACAAACAGATTACGATAACCATCTGGGTGAAAGATCACAACATTAAGGTTAAATATCATACTCAGACTTTACATTGCCCCAAAATGTAACATGTGGCAGCATAAAAGCCATAACATAAACCTCCAAACCAACATATTGAAATCTGTTATGAATATTGTTTACGAATTTTAGTTTCTTTGTTACTGCAGTTTTTCTCTCAAGACATCTGAAGCACTCTCCTTCCTGTTCTCTTTTTTTTTTTTTCCTAGTTGGGAAACTCACACACACTGCCTCCACTGAGGTTCGAACCCCTGACCTCCCTTTGGGAGATAAGAGCCTTGTACCGCTAGGCCACAGGCCTGTTGGTCCTTCTTGTTCTCTTGTTACAAAAGCAATTAGAACTTCAATTCAATAATTACTTTATTTCAATGATTTATAGATGTCAAGCGTGAGAACACGGGATCAAATCCTGAGAGTAGCCACTTCATACAAATAATGCTAAAAGGTAAGTTTGTATCCAGTCCACACTTCCTAGCACCCTCGATTAACCGGGAGCCACATTGGGTAATCGCCCTATTATTTGTGGACATGGATATGAGAGTAACCGACAAAGATGAACACAAGGTTCAAAATAGAGCAATCCTCTAAATCCAGAAATATGAGCCTACTGAATATGTGAAATCTAATTAAATAAGATTAGAAATATAAATGTAGGATGTAGTGAAGAATGGGAATAAGAAGATACAAATAAGCGAAGATTTTTAATACTTGACTCGATTATTCTCAAAGAAGGATAAATTAGAGATGATGTTAATCATATAATTAAAGCAAGATATGTTAAATAGATAAGTGTTTCTGACATATTATTTGTGATAGACGTATAAGTCTAAATTTGAAATATAAATATATATATATATAATAGCTACTAGACCAAACATACTTTTTGAAACAACATGTTTGATTGTTAAGAAACAAAATATTCATAAAATGAGCATAACCAAAATGCAAATGTCGAGATGGACACGTGCCAACAAAGGAAATAATAAATCTAAATTGAACACGTCCCCAAGAAGGTTACACTAGTACTAATTAAAGATTGACTAAGAGAGAATCCACTAAGATGGTTTGGCTATAAGTAGCTAGGACCAATAACTAAACCAATCAGAGAGAGTCACGTGATTAAGGGAATACTAGGATGATTGATAAGAAATCATATTACAGCATGTGATTCAGCTGAGATTATGACCCCTAAATAAAGCAGAATGCCCCAGGGAGGAAGAGGGGCGGAAAAGGGACTGCTCCTCTACATACACAAGTTCGAACTCTCTATTATAACTCTTCGCATCCACCCCACAGACAAAAATCTGTGATATTTAATTGGAAGCTTATTGAAGAACAATTTGGAAGTTCAATTACCTGTCTTGTTAATCCATTAGTTTGCCAAATTTAAGAAAGAGAATTGATTTAGAAAACTGATATAGTGAGTTTGGGAATTTGAACACAGAGATTTGAGCAAAAAAGACTTCAAAAAAAGAATTGTTAAAATATTTAAATTTCTAAGAGGAGAAATGGTGATGGAAAACAGAAGACGAATTTCTGTAGTCATGGAATTAGAGAACACTTGCTCTGATCTGGACTCAGATGTAAATGGAACATATTTAGATGTTCTGTTTGACTTTAAGTCTAAAAAATATGCCATAGTATAACTTTGTTCCACAAAGTAGGGGCAGAATGAAATTCAATAGACTTGAACATCATCTCTTGGCATGGTCTTGTGGAGTGCAAGTAATCTCCAAAATTACAAGGGCATTTTTTTTTTTCCCTTTTTGGGGGAAGAAGAGCATGTGCATCTTATTTATTTATTTTTGCCAGGCTTTAACACTATGTAATCAAATAACCAATATGAGACCTTAATTGCCCAAGAGCTTAGACAAGAAAACAGAATGCTCTAAAGAAATTTGAAGCCTAATCCTCTACTATTATCAATCAATGCCCAAAGAACCAAATCGAAAAGGTCTACGAAAACCTCGTAAATTAATTTGAGCAAGCAAGAACAGGTCGCTTCAAGGGAAGAGTAGAGATCCTTGTTAAGACCGTGCGCATAACTAACTCTTTTATTGAAACAATAAAATTGAGGAAGATAGCCAAATTAATTATTCTCTCTCTTTCTTAGAAAGCCTTCCCCTCCCACCAGATAGGCAGTTAAAATTTTAATTTCGTTATGGCAAAAAAAAAAAAAATCCCTCTTCAGAAAACAACAATTATATGTCAATTCAAAGAATTCAAAACATTAAAAGATGCAAATATGGATCAGCTAAACAAAACATGCTCATAATATTTATCAACACCACCACAGTACTGGATGTTTTACTTTTAGTCTGCATCATGTGTTGATCCAAGGGATGACTAACCTAGAACATTGACCAGATGGAAGAAATTTATGGCAGAACATGGGCTTCCATTGTAATAAATCACAAATCAGCCCTTAGGGATCATATGGATCTCCAAAAAAAAGAAAGAGATCAGACAATTAGCTATATATAGTCTCTACAATCATTATGCTAATGCTGCAAAAGGAAGCATTTAATTGGATTCAGATATAAAGCATGTCTCCTTATAATTAATAAAAAATGAAAATAAAAATTAACCGATGACACCTTAAATGTTGCAAGATTTCGTTGGAACCAGAATTAGGCAACAGTACAACAGTACCTTCTAGAAGGGCCTTTAGGTCCAATGCTGACATTAGATGTGCCCGGACACAATGAATTAACATAATCGTACCTTCAAATTCAAACAAGAACGAGTGAATTGAAAGAACCAACATATACATAACATAACAGGAAACCTTCTCCCTGAAATTGACAAAAGATAGACAAAAATTGTTTGGATTGATAAAATCAAAAGGCGTACGGGCTCATTGAAAATTTTATTGGAGAGCTTTCATGGGCCACCATTTTTTGTAGATATCTGGCTGAGAAGCTGCTCTGGGAATCATGGTATCTGAGTGGAATCCAACACTGGAGAAAGGTAAAAGAAAAAGAAAAACTAATAAACCATAATGGAAGAACAAATTGCGTTGAGTATACGAGAGGAAAAACGAAAGCAAAAAAAATAACAATTTGTTGCTTTTTCTCTATGTGCATTACGCCAACAGAGTTTTGGGTAAAACAAGCAACTCAAACACCACTTACCAGGTGAAAAAAACTAAAAGAGCAATACCTAAGAACGACTCTTCCCAAACAAAGAGACACAAAACGACTCTATCTCTGTTTTAATTCCTTATTATTATGGAGGCTCTCAGTAGGTTGTTGGGTAGGGCAGTGGATCTGGGTTTATCAGGGGCTTTAGGGTTGGTAGAGACTCGGGTCATCAGATTGAGATCTCTCGTTTACTGTTTGCAGATGATACCTTGGTTTTTTTTATGCTGATGTGTCCAGGTTGAGATATTTGAGGTGTGTCCTGGTTTGTTTTCAGGCAGTTTCTGGTTTGAAAATTAATGTAGGAAAGAGCATGCTTGTCCCTGTATTCAGGACACCGCATCCCTTGCTGCAGTTCTTGGGTGTGGGGTGGGCTCTTTTCCTATCTCCTATTTGGGTTTGTCGTTGGGTGCTCCGTCAAGGAGGGTGAGAGGTAGGGATCCTGTGATTGAGCGTTTCGTAACAATTTAGGGGACATATTAAACGATAGTAAAAATGTCCGACTATCAAACATGAGAACAAGAATTTGAGTTCAGAACAACCACAACATAGTGAATAATGCTAGAGGTAAAATCTATCCTGAATCCTCCTGTCCAAACAACACCCCACAGAGACACATGGAAATTGCATATTTTATGGCGGCAGAGAAATCATAACGAAGGTCACTAAATAACAAGCACCGCCAATGTAAACCACTCAAACCTGTAAAATGCATTAATGCATAATAGCTAATCCATTGAAGTAAATCAAAAGAAAAACGAAAACCCTGATCATGCGACACATGAACATCTCAAAGATATAGCAACCAATAAAATGAATACTATGTTACTTTTTCCAGATTGTCATATAAATAATCTAGAAGGTGCCAGAAAGCATGGAAAATATATACTTCACCAAAATAAATAGAAGGCAGTTCATTAGAATAGCAGTTGAAACAGTAAAAATAAAACGTTTCTCACACCTCTTCAATATCCTTATTTTGTTCATTTACATTTCCTGGTTGCCTGCTCTGCGTGAAAAGAAACATATCGAAATCAGAACTCAAATTTTATAGAGATAACAGAAAAACACAAAATTGATCGAATAAAATAAACTTCAAGGGCCTAATATAGAACAGGTCTATGAAGGGCACCATAAGTCATGTGCCAGGTATATTGACACTAGTCCTGTCACAGTTAAATTGTTAATCAATCTATCAAATTGATTACAGGTTTACAGCAGATTTAAATGACGCACGGCCAGCCCATCCATCAGACTCCTGGAAGAAATGCTGGCATTGCATTTCCAAGTGAAGGGTGGGGTTAATGTTTGATTCTTATCATTAAGTAAATAAATGACATAATGGGGTGTGCGTAACAGAAAAATAAAGTTGAATAAGATGTCAGTAGCATCACAAATTCAGAAATAGCATTTACCTGTTTCTTAGATGGTCCTACAGATTTTTCTTCAACAAGATCTTCAGATCTAACTGTAGCTTCCATATTGCTTGCAACATTGGTCTTCCTCTTTGAGACACCAGATTTGAGATGTTCCATAGATGGTCGAAGCTGCACAACTGCATGAATAGGATTGAGGTGTAACTGCAAGATAACGAAGAAAGCAAACCCTTTTACAATATGCACTTAAAGAAAATCTAGATTTTTTTAGCAACAAATATAAAAGGAGAACACCTTAATAAATGCCATTCCAAAATTCTCCCAATTTTCTCATGAGACGGCTTTTTCTCACTCTCTCCCTTCCTTGTCGCCACTCATTTTACAAATTCCATTGACAATCAAACCAGCATTTTGCTAAACTAGCAACCCGAAACGACCAGCAAACATCAGAAACATGCCAGAGAGCCAACAGCTTTCAACTGTCAACCCCATGTTTTTGTTATTTTTGGCACTTTTTTGCAATTACATATGACCAAGGGCTCAGTTTTGAGAAAATGCATTGTGGTTCAACTTTGTTTTCATTTTTCTTCTTTAATTTCCAACAGTCGCTTCATTATCGAGAATCAAGTGTTAGGATACAGAGTTTATGTTATAGATGATGTTGGGGTCAGGACCATCACGGATTTTCATGGATTATTGTTTAAAGTTGGTGATTTTTGTTCAACTGTGGTTTATTTGGGTAGAGGAATATTGGCATAGATGGCATTGATTTGGAACTATTACAAATGCCCCAAATGTAGGATTGGCAGCTTACATCCAACCAAGAGTTTTCTTTGAATTTGTGGTTCGGTGTTCAAATGAGATCATTTTTTTATGTGCACTGAATATATATCAATGAAACTCGTTTTAACTTTTTTAATTTGGAGTTTTGTGTTGAATTGAGATTGTTTTGAAAATGTGGATCAACTTTATATCGATGAAGTTGGTCTTGAACTTTTCAAATCCCTAAATTTTGGGATCGGAAGCTCATGGACATATGCGTATTTCATTCAGTTTCCCAGCAAATTTTTCCTTTTTCCAAATATGCTTAAGAATCAACTGGCATGTCTTGATTTTGATGAAAGTTTGGCTTTCAATTATACAAGTTATTCCCAATTTTGAGATTGAACGCTCACGCCTATCTAAAGTTCAATTCAATTTCTATGTTAAATTTGGGTTTTTCCCCAATCAAATAATCCAACAAAAGTTCACCAATATCAACTCAATCAACTGAGATGTTTTATGGTTTCATATAATGAATTGAGTTGAGATTTGGGGTCGAATCATCACAGGCATTCGTTTTTCTTTTTCTTTTTCTTTTTTTAACCTATTTCCTCAAATTATGAATTTCATTCACAATGAGATGATGTGTATTGTCTGAACTGGATGCTCGTGGCCATTCCAGGGATTGTTGAAGTTATTTTCAAGATAACGTTGTTTCCTTTTTCAAATTTAGTTAGATTAAAATTTTTAGTTTTGCCTTGTGAGTGAATTTACAAAATAGATTCAAGAAAATTGTTCTCATTAAAGGATGGCTTTACTTGCCAAAGTTTGTACAATGAGATTCTCTATTTATCAGGCAAGTTCTTGCCAAGATATACTGTTGTCCAGCTAATATCTTAAAACAATATTGCACCATGGCAGCAGGTATTATCCTTCAAGAAGGCTAGTTGGTATAAAATGGCAACATCATCAAGGAACGTGTGATCAAGAAGCATACCTTATTGCCCATTAGAACTCCAACAGCATAGCCAGTTGTACGAGTTGGCTTCCATGAAGTTGACAAAGTCTGAATGAAAATTAAGGACGAATAAATCATAAATCAAATGAATAAATTGTTGGTAAAAGGCAAATTAAGAAGCTCAATGCAGGACCACAAGGATCAAAATCTCCATAGATGCAATTTTCCTCAGAGAGGAAAAGAATATGTGGGATAAAGTTATAAATAATAAGATTATCCTGCCACTACAAGGAAAAGAACCCAGAAATAATGAGACGATCGAAAGAGAGAGCAATTCTGGAACTTGGGCAACTACGTTAGGTTGGAAATCAACTATTTTTAAGTATTCAAGAAGTGTCAATGACGGATTCCAAATTAAGAATTCCAATTTCAAATTATGGATATGTCAAAGATGTACCGGACACATCTTCAAGAGTGTATGAGAAGTGTTTGTATGACACAGGTCCAACAATGACATTGTTCCTCCTTACAATTGCCAGTAATTATTGGTTCTTTTAGGCACTAATGAAGTAATAATTTATGAATGCTCCAGATACTTGGGAGGGGAAAAGAAAAAGAAAATAAATGAAATTTTGAAAAAAATAATAATGAAAATCAACTAAAAACTCATAAATACAACTTACTACATGTAAGCCTATATATGCATAACTACGAAGATTATACTCGCTTTCACCGTAGACCCATCAACATAAATAAAAAATGAAGATTTTATAAGTGCATGCAGTGGCGTGAGAAAGTTTGACAAAATATGTGATAGAGAAAAATGACAAAAATGATAGTGAATGACGCCAATTAGTTGAGATCAAGCTTTGTTAAATTGCTGAAGCTTTGACAAGAATTGAATATTCCACATGTATTTCCAATGCTTCAAGTTTTCATATTTTTCTGTTTTCCATTTTGTTTTGCTTCCAATTGTTCTCGTCTACTTCTCCCCTCTGTCAATGTCATGCATTCAAAATATTCTAAAGAAAACTTGATTTCTGCTTTCTTGTAAGAAATCAAAAATCAAACTCTAAACCAAAATTCTAACCTTCACGCTTCAGTCGAAATAAATTGAATGGCACAATTAGAAATAAACCTGCTTTGCCATCCTCATTCTAGAATCAGGATCGTAATTCTTGGAATCAACCTCAACCTTCAAATCAACCTCAACTTCAGTGCTTGTAGGTTTCACCCTAACCTGACAACAAATAATAAACAAAAGAAATCTCTCCATCATTCTCTCATATCTTCAAATTTCAAGTTTACTTAGACTCGTTATAACCTATGTTCGGTGGCATGGAATTGGTGTCTTGGAATTAGTTCAAAGTCAGAACTAATTTTTCTCCAATCCCAATTCCAACCCACCGATGTATTCGTTGCTAAATTTCTATCTCATGTTACAAGAAGTATAGGTATGTAAAAAGAAACAAACGGTACACACCTCTTCACACCGTTGGTCCAATTCGTACGGACGCCAACATGGCCTGAGAGGATATTGCAGAACATAGAGCTGGTGAAAGAAACTAAGAGTCAACAACAGTGTGTGTGTGTGTATGAGATGAAAAACCTAATTACAAAGTGATAGATACATGAATATACATATATACCCATATATTGAAATTACCTGTGTGTTGGTATCAGTGGCAGGAGTGAAGAAGACGTCGATCTCTCGAACAACTTGATCTTCAGCGTCGTCTTCCGCAATTGGCTCCGCCTTCGGTCCTTCGCCATCGACGTCCATTTCCGCGGCGGTGGTGGCTGCGTCGGAGGGACGCGAGGGTTCCGCCTTGGCGGTGGCGGAATCGACAAATGGTGTTGGTAGCGAATCTGATTCTTCGTTTTTCTTCACAGGAATGGAATCTGATTCTTGGGGTTGTGATGGTGATGGTTCGGATGTTGATGAGGGTTCTTGTTTGGGTATTGGTTTTGGTTTGAATTTGGAGTTTTTGGGGGCGAATCTGTTGGCTCGCGACGGAGCGGGTTTCGGACCGTCGAGGTCGTCGTCCAGGTCCATGTCCATCTCCACCGTAGTTTCTCTATCTAGAACTGGTGTGCTCTCCGGTGAGCAGCGGCGTAGCGTTTCCGAATATTGTTGGGCTTTTAGGGCTCTAAAATTCGAGAGCAGCCCTTTTACATATTTTTAAAAAGTTCAAGCAAAAAATACTCGAACACCCGACCTGTCACAAAGAGTAGATCAACCAAGTTGCACGCCGATGGAACTTTAAAATCAATTTATATGATAAAATGATTCAATTTTTGGTCACGTTCTAATAGTGGTTCATTTGGATTAGAGTGATAACAAAAGCTTGTCTTGAATTTGATATAAATTGTTGAGGAATGAATTTTTTTTTTTTTTTTTTTTTTACATTGCCGAGAAACTCACAATTACAGTTCTGTTATGGTATTGAATTGGTGTCTTGAATTTAGAATTGAAAAAAAATTAATACAAATTTTGAATTATACATCTTTTCGTTGTCCAAATTTATGACATAATTTGAAACGTAACATTTGTCCAAATTAATATTTGACCCTTTTACGCTATTCAAGGATCAAAATGGATTGCGAGACAAGTTTATACTGCATTATGTAATAAAAATGAGTTTTTAATGAATTTGAAATTTTGATTTAATACACTTAATGACTTGTACGTTTAATTGCATAATATAATCAAGCCCAATTTTTATAATCGTGTTAGGCTTGTAATTAGACATGTGTATTTCTAAAAAATAAAAATGTATTTCTTATCAAGTTATGGCGCGACAAGATTAGTTTGAAGTGGCTAACTTTGAGAGCAAGAGTACACAAATAATCAGTGGAACCGAGTCGATCTGGCGATTTGATTCTAGTTTCCGTTTCAAAATTTTGTAACCATTAATTTTCAGTTCGGTTTCAGACCCTAGAAAAGGAACCGAACCATATTAATGATTATATATATTAATTTTTAATTATATAATTACTAATATATATGTGTGTGTGTTGGGAAATATACTAGTTTTAAAAACTTTTTGAGTGATTTTAATTCATAGATCTTGATTCATCACATATAAACAAGTTTTATGCAAAAATAAAATATGATGTATCATTTAATTAATAGATTGAATACTTACATCAAAGGTCTGAGTAAACCTTTAAATCTTTCCTTTAAAGTGAATGTTCTCGCTTATTATAGATCCCTTAACAAGATGCCTTCTCCTTGAATCTCCATCTTCTTGGTAATTGTTTTGTCTTTAGGAATCACTCATAAGGCTCTATAAATGACCTTGGAAAACTAGGCTTGTGAGAGCTTCCATGAGAATGCAAACCCTAAAATCTAAAGAAAGAAAAAATATATTCATTTTTTTTTTTCCAAAAGTCTCTTCTAAAATATACATGAACATAAAAATCAGAAAATGAAACCATAAATCATTATTCATCTTTAATTCACATATCTTAAATCTAATAAGATTCCAATATCAAGTTAGGTTATGAGTAAGAATCCTATTGGGCTTATTATTTTCTTGGTTACAATTAATTAATAATTGGCCCGGTCCATGGACCCAATTAAATTAATTCATTAATTAATTTCTACTCCACTAAAAGAAATTAATTGAACTCCAATTAAATAATAAATAACCTCTAAGTCAATGTTGCACATCGACCCCTCTATGCATAATTAGTTATCGGATAAATAAAACCATCAATCCGACTTCTTAATTAATATATTTATTTTGGTACATTTGATTATTTCTGACTCGATCACAATAAAACATTTGTTTGACAAAAATAATAATTTAAATAAATATATATATAATAGATCATTTTGTCTAAAAACATACGAAGGCCTTCGAATTTACTTTGTGATCAACCATAATCAATACAAAATAAATATAAGTAACAATGATGCAAATATTAAAAATATAACCCTCTAACTATTAATCACATAATTACCTAAAATGTCGGTTTAAGGATTCTGAAGATTCCACCGAACAAATCAAAATAATTACTAATTAATAAAAGAGTCTATACTTCTCTCATGCTTAAGAGTCAAATGTCATGACAGTGATAGAGAGTAATTGCATACGACGGCTATCGTCATATATCTTAACCTAACGTGGATCCAGTTCAAATCTTAATTAATTATGAGTCAATCCATAATTACTGACTATGAACAATTTATGATTATTATTTATATTCATGTATTAATCGCCATCACATACATATATAAATATCTCTTGTAATCAAATGGACACTATCAATTCCATAATGAATCGAAACATAATACATTGAATTCACTAATCGTATAAAGCATAAATATTTCAGAAACGTCAGGAATATATGTCACTTTAATCAAAACAGGAATTTACTATGTCAGGGTATATAAATCCCAACAATATGCATATTGATGCTTTTTGTGGCTGTAAAATATTTAGAATGCATTGATTATATGCTACAATAATCCCATTAAAAGAATATTCATATAAAAAACTCCATTAAAATCAAAATACATATAGATAGATAGATATAATAAATGTATGTTATAATGTACTATATTATATATCAAAATGTACTACAAATGGGTTTAAAGTCATTAAATGGTATCGACGTAAATGAGGCTAAGCTATTGCCTTATTTATTTGGTAGGAAGAAAGAAAAATGGATGTAGGGAAGACGGGAAGGAATAAACAAACTTCCTTTATTTAGTAGAGAGAAGATAATGAAATAAGAGAAAATAGAATAAATGAGTCATTTTTCTTTCTCCTCAAATTTTCTTCCCTTTAAGTATGGACAAAAAACACGAAAGAAGAAAGCAATATTATTAAAAATGTTTTTAAATTACAAAAATTTCCTTACAATTAACCATTTCTCTTTCATTATCTCATAACGAACAAAATAAGTTATATAATTTCTTACACTCTTCTATTCCATCCAACCAAACAAACAGTGAAAATTACATAATTTATTCTCTAGGAAGGTCTTATTCATCTATTTTTCTCTTTATTTCATTCAATTTTATCATATCCTTCCAAATTGAGCATTAGGCAAAGGTATTGCTAAAAATAAATTTTTTTTTAAAGGCAACCAAATCGGAGCGGTTCAATTCGGTTCGATTCTATGTTTCATGTTTCAATGATTCCGATTTCAGTTCCAGGAATCGTACCGAACCGTGTGCACTATTGTAGGAGACCAATTATGTTTAACACCTGCCATCAAATCTAAATTTGGGTTTTAAAAAAATTTTAAAAAATTTAAAAAATAATAACATCTTCAGTTATTCAAAATTGAAAATATCCATGTCAACTGTATTTCGAGGAGTCCAATTGGATTTGTTAAAATATGTTGTCATTTCCGCATTTCAATAGTTGCCACATTATAAACGAACATAAAATAAGAGATGATAAGCTCGATGAGAATTTTCATCCAAATTCGTTGGCCAAATTCAGAATTGCTTTCAAAAAGTCCATCCGAAAATTCTAGTCTTAGCCGGCTAAGCGATTGTGTAGACAGTCAAAATACTTGCATTTATAAAATATTTTTAATATGTATTCATATGCTAAAGGTCATAAATATTTGAGATATGGGTAATAATATATATATACATATTTCATTTTTTTATGTCATGAAATGCAAATATTTAATATATGAGTAATAATATATATTTCATTTTTATGTCATGAAATGCAAATATTTTTAATGATTTAAAGGGCAATGCTATCACGAGTTCGAGCCCATGTTAGCTGCCATGAATCCTCCTTAGTACATTCTAGACCAAGAAAATAGTGAACAAGTTACATGGTCACTTGATCAATTTAAAATGACTTTAGTGTAAAGAGAATTATATCAAAATATCATAAAATAAAGTTAAAAAAAACAATAATTTAGTTTGGTCAAATTAAAAACAAAGATAATACGGTATCTAATTATGTTAATTACCTTCCAAAAAAAAGGTAAAAAATAAAATAAATAAAAAGAAAATAAAAAAAAGAGGGCACGTTTAGTGCTGTAATAAATTTCAACGTTGTTATGTGGTTGACTTGCCTGGAAAAAGCACTCCAAGCACACACACACAACTCAATTGGAGAACCCAAAAACAGCAGCTCGCAGAGGTAAGAACATTCTCAATATTTATCTGTTAATGTCCAAAATTTATTATTATTAATTATTATTATTATTTTCCACATTTATCTGTTGAATAAATATAGATCTTTTTCATATAATTGGATTGGTTGGGTTCGGTATGTTAACAGATTCAATTGCAATGAATTGGGTTCAACGGAAGATCTATCTGTACAACGTGACATTCGGACTCTACATGCTAGATTGGTGGGAACGTTGTCTCTTCAGTATCCATTTTATTTAGTTTAATGAATTATAAGATCAATTGATATGCATGATTGTAAATAATCATAACATTTTGCTGATTAATCATGAACATTTTAGGGTTTTATAAACCTTGAAATTGAGTTTGAAGTTTGATTGTTGTTGCAAATTCTTGACGGTTGTAGAAATTTTGATGATTGTGTTGATGTGGTTTGTTTCCCAATTACAAGATCAATAGATATGCATAATTGTAAATAATTTTAAATTTTGGTGAATAATCATGAAAATTTAGGGGTTTTATAAAATGTTGTGATATAGTTGGGCATTTGGGTTTGAGTTTTGATTGTTGTTGCAAATTCTTGACGCATATAGATATTTTGGTGCTTGTGTTGATGTGATTTGTTTGATAATTACAAGATCAATAGATATGCATAATTGTAAAAAAAATTTAATTCTGGTGAATAATCATGAAAATTTATGGATTTTATAATATTTCTGATATAGTTGGGTATTTGGGTTTGAGGTTTTTGATTGTTGTTGCAAATTCTTGACGCTTATAGATATTTTGGTGCTTGTGTTGATTTGGTTTGTTTGCTACAATGGGGTTCAACAGGCCACCCAGTTCTGCAAAAGGTACATGATTCCGTCCTTGTTGTTTGCATTTTGAATGTGTTGTTATTTTATTTTATTTTTCGAAAAGACAAATATACAAAACCACAATATTACCCCTAGCAGGGTTCGGACTCGGACTCTCTATCTCTCTCCTTTAGGAGAGATCATACCATCAACACTAATGTCCATTGGAATTTTGAATGCGTTGTTCTCTTACTAATGCTGTTAATTTAATTGCAATCATATTTTTCACATAGGTTTTGTCACCTTTTTTTTTTTTTTT